GTAACCAACAAAGATTGTTACATTTTGAGTGTGAACTTTTTCATGGGTTTTTACAATAGAGGTCTCATACAGTATTTGTCCTTTTGTGATTGACTTATTTCACTCAGCATAATGTCCTCCAGTTTCATCCATGTTATGATAGTTCATGGATTCATTGTTGTTCTTTCTCGTTGCATAGTACTCCATTGTGTTTAAAAAGATTTTTAATGAACTAGAAGAATGCTTTCCTTATGTGACGTGAAAAATAAAGTAAATATTCATATATAGAAAAATAAAAAAACTAGAAGAAAATACTACAAAACCAAAATACATCTGAGAGGTGAAAATCTGGAAGATTTTCTTATTTAAGTTTTCTTATGACACTTTTTCTACAATTACATAAAATCTGTTGCCATCAAATTGATTCCAACTCATAGCAACCCTGTAGGACAGAGAACTGTCTCATAGGGTTTCCAAGGCTGTAAATCTCCAGGGAAACAGACTGCCACATCTTTCTCCCGCACAGCTGCTAGTGGATTCCAACTGTCGATCTTTCAGTTATCAGTCTAGCGCTTAACCACTGCATCACCAGGGCTCCTACAATTAAATAATAACTTACAGAAAAATTTAGCTTTACAGTAGAAAAATTGCTTAGAATTAAAGTTATTTTGAAAAGTGCATTGATTATAAGGAGGAGGAAGTATAGCATCTTTCGAAAGTTCAATAGTAAACCAATAACAATGCTCTTACCTGAGCCAACCCAGCAGTGAAGGCAAAGGGGCTACAAATACTCAAGATCCACTCCAATGATGAAGGAAGTTGTTTATGTAATGCAGTGAATCCCACAAATCCCCAAAAGAGCATCAGGAGAAATACAACCACGCTAGTGAGGCTGCTTTTCTTTAACAACACGCTCATCAGGAACACTAACGCTATCTGAAAGAGAGAGAAGACATTTAGCTATCATATACTGAGTTCACTGAGTGTCATTGTTAGCACAATAAAATAAGGGACTTTATATCATAATATGAATATTTATCATTGAAGCTACAATGAAAGTATTAAGATATAATTATTCTCAGTCCTTCCCTCAACCTCCTTTTAAAGAGGATCCTTATTTGCTCTTCTCAGATGCTGGGCTTTTGTTGTTGAGGAAAGGATAGGGAAAGTTGGAACATGGGCTGAGGAAAGGGTAGAAATGAAGGCTTGAAAAATTGAGAGAAGCTAAATTTCTAAATTAATGTACTAGGAGTCCCTGGGTGATGCAAACAATTAATGCAATTGACTGCTAATCTAAAGGTTGGAGATTTGAGTCTACCCAGAGGTACCTCAGAATAAAGGCCCAGCGATCTATTTCCAAAAACTCAGCCATTGAAAACCCAATGGAGCATAGTTTTCCTCTGACACACATGGGGTTGCCATGAGTCAGAATCTACTCAATGGCACCCATTTGTTTTTTTTTTCCAATGTACTAAGAAAGGATATCCACGTACACTTTGTAGAAAATATCCTGGAAAGGAAAAGAATTAGAGGCCCTTGTTCAGAGGACGGAGGAGAAGTTAAGTGGGGAGTTTACTGCAAGGTGAAATATTATAGGGAGAAGAGAGAGTGTGATTAGTGACAGGGAGCCCTGGAGAGAAAGATGTGTCCACTGCACAAGAATATTATCATTCATAACCTAGAATAATCTTTGATATGTTTAGAGTAAAAAACTTCTTTTTCTTTTTGAGTCATCATTGGGTTAGTTCAGAACTTTATGCAAAAAAAAAAAAAGTCTGATTTTATTTGGGTTACATCACTTTCTCACACCGATAAAGACTTTCTCAAGCAAGCAGAAAAAAATGGACACTAAAAAGGTGACTGTAGTAGCCTACTGAGGCATTAACATTTGCTACATATTGTGAAGATCAGAAGCAGGGAAAGTGATGATACATTGATGAACTTACCAAAGATAAGCCAAATAGAAAAAATAGTGTAAATATGACCATGAAGCCCGTCATGACTATAATTTGGGTAGATGTTATGACAATTGTAATTAATATGGAAATAAAGAAGATGAATCCAGCATAGGTTAAACCCCAAGAGAGCCTACGGAGAGACAAAAAGTTATTTAAATTATTTTAAGTTTTTACGAAATATTTAAAACATACAAAAATACCTAAAGAATAATACAGTGATTACCCTTGTACCTGCCATCTAGATTAATAACTAAAACTAAAATAGTTGAAGCCCACTGTTTACCCCTTTTCTGATCTCAGTGAACCTTTCTCCTCCCACAAAGGTAACTACTTACCTAAATGTGCTGTTTATAATTCCCGTGCATTTTGATTTCCTTTACTACATATGCAGACCAAGATGATAGTCAAGATCCTGAACACTGGTACTACACAGGTATCAACCAACCAAAAAGGATGTCAAAACCAATTATGTGACTTTTATTATTGTCATGGCTATGGGAGTCTTACTGGCTGGATGTCAGCTCTGTGTCAAACTATTGTATAAATAGTATAAATGCTGTATAAATAGAATCATACTGTATGTATTCTTCTGTAACTTGCCTTTATCAACCAGCATTAACAATATTAGATACTTGTTGTTGCTGGGTGCCATTGAGTCAATTCCAACTTATAGCCACCCCGTGTGACAAAGCAGAATTGCCCCATAGGGTTTTCGTGACTGTAATCTTGACTAAAGCAGATCACTGGGTCTTTCTCCCACAGAGCAACTGTGTAATATTTCATTGTATGAATATACAATGTTCTCTTGCCCATTGACATTTAGGTTTTCTCCATTTTTTTTTTTTGCTATTACAATGCCACTTAGAACATTCTTGTACATGTCTTTTTGGGAAAATACACAAGAATTTCTTTAAAAATGTTCAGTTGTTGAATTGGAAGGGAAGTTAATAGCTGCTGATCAGTCAAGTCACTATGGAAGCATCGATAGCCAATGATAAGTTGACCATTCTTGAGGATCTCAGGAGGCAGCCCCTTGACTCCCCTTAAGAAACCAACAAAAAACCAAACTCATTGCTGTGGAGTTGATTCCAACTCACAGCGACCCTATAGGACAGAGTGCAACTGCCCCATAGGGTTTCCAAGGAGCAGCTGGTGGATTTGAACTGCTGACCTTTCAGTTAGCAGCCGATCTCTTAACCACTGTGCCACCAGGGCTCCACCATTCTCCTTAGTAGTGGGAAATAAAAATCTCTTATCTTCACTAAGACCTTCCCATTCTTGCTCTTCCTATTCATGATCTCATTACTTAAACCGATACGATTCATTATACACCCTTAAATGTTCACGTTGTTTTGCTTTAGATGAGCTAGTGTTCATATTTTTATAAGGTAGTTATAAAGAAGCAGTACACAATTTTAGATCTAATAAGCCTATAGGGGGTTTTACCCAAAGCTTCTCGTTTCACAGGTGAGCAACCATCAGTCCCTATTATCAGTTAATGGTCTTATCCGAGGTTACAGATTGAACCAGTAACAAAGTTAAAATGAAGCCACAGGCCACCTTTAGACTAGGGCTCTTTCCTCCACATAAAATTGCCCAATTAAAGAGCAAAACAGCTGAAGAATACAGCAGAAGTGTTAAAACCAGGAGATTGCATCAGTATGTCCCAGCAAAACATGCTTATGCTGGATTTGATGCTTGTTTATTTGACTTCTTTTTAAATTTCATATCATTACAATGATTCAAAACTATGTTAAAATTATCAGCAGTTTTGAAAAAACATACCAGTCTCTGCAGAACCCACTTCCTGAGTACAGAGGGGAGCTACTTTCATGAGGAATTGGAAAACCACAGGGTGGGAGAACTACAAATGAAGGAAATTAAAACATTACCTAGAAAAAGGAACTGGTTGCAAGGGCAAGGGGCGATGCTAATAAACCTATGAAAACCCATATGCTAAAAACAAAGCAATTCAGATATCATACTTAAATAAATACGGATTACATTGCATGTGCATACTAAGAATTATTTATCTATAGAGGCTGAATCCAGATGCAAATGTCCAATACCTTTCTGACTTTATACAGGGTTGACTTCATCCTCCCTGGTCTCAGATGGGCACAGAGATGCTGGCCCCAAAACCATGGCCTGGACTGAGAGGAAGCGCCTTTCAGGACAGGGGTCCCCTCGTTCTTCCTTCCTATGAGGGCTCTAGATGGCCCTAAGGTCTATTTCTTTGTGTTTTCCAAAGTTCCCTGCAAAAAACTTTTCCTTCTCTCGTTTTTATTCCCAGGCAGTTTCCTCTTTTGTTATTTCACAATTCACACGTATTGAAATCAAAATTCTGTTAATAAAATATACAGTTGTCTCTCGTTATCTACCGGGGTGGGGGGTGGGAGGAGTTGTTCCAGGACCTTGGCGGATACCAAAATCCGAGGATACTCCAGTCCCTTATATAAATAGGCATAGTATTTAGGTATAAACTATGCACGTTCTACCGTACACTTTAGATCATCTCTAGATTACTTACAATACCTATTACAATGTAAATACTATGTAAATAGTTGTTATACTGTATTGTTTAGGGACTAATAACAAGACACGGGCAAACAATGCTCAAACAAGGAATGCTGGAGAGAGACTGAGGATCCCTAAAATGGCTGGAGGCTAGAGCATGGGATGCCTACACATCACTTCATTCGCCGGGATTCAACCTAGTGCTCAGCGCCCGGGTGGTAAATTCAAGTTTTGCTTTCAGGAACTTTTTTTTTTTTCCAAATATTTTCGAACTGCATTTGATTGACTACGTGGATGCGGATCCCATCGATATGGACGGCTGAATGTACTGTATAAAGTCAGAAGTTCCAAGGCCATGATTTTCTTTCAGGGAAGCTCATGACTTACAGAGGCTTGTTAAATATATAGCCCCTCATTCATTTCCCATCTATAAAGAGCGCTTTCTTGACATGGTGCATATACAGAGAAATCTTTCTTGGGATTCAATAACAAAAATGTTGCGTTTCTTTTGGGGTAAACTATACAGCTTATTTTCCCTCTTTTTTTTTTTTTTCATTTTCTAGACAGTGTATGTTTTGAAACGGATTGTATTGCAAGCTTCTCTGCTTCACCCGCTTGGAAGCTTAGCGTTTTAATGATTTGTATTTCGATTTGCTATTTTTACCTACTTGGTATTTTGGTAGGTATTTGTTCCTATGCCTCAATTATTTGTTTTTATTGTGTTTGTGTGTGTGTGTGTGTGTGTGTGTGTGTGTGTTTTCTCTGACCCTGTAAGTGTGGTGTATTCTCTTTGACTTTCGTATTTTTTGTCTACAAACTACATAATAGTACCTTAGTCACAGAACTAGCATAGCACAGTCACAGCACAGAAAAAGTGCTCAGCAAATTATAATCACTATTTTGCATGGTAAAATTTAACAAAACTAAATTAAAAAATCAGAACAAAAGAAAAAGTAACGAATGTATCAAGTTTAAATCAAGATGTTCTGAAACAATAATATTTTTTCACTGCCTTAATTTCTCTGTTTATTAATATGCCCTACATGAATTCCAAATCACATCTGTCAGTTTGTCATACTGCGGTGGCTTGCATGTTGCTATGATGCTGGAAGTTCAAATACCAGCAGGGTCACCCATGGTGGACGAGTTTCAGTGGACCTTCCAGAATAAGACAGGCTAAGAAGAAAGGCCTGGTGATCTACTTCCAAAAATTAGTCTATGAAAACCTTGTGGATCACAACAGAATAATGTGCAATATAGTGCTGGCAGTTGAGCTCCATAGGAGGGAAGGCACTCAAAACGCACAGTGGCCACAACAATGGACTCGAGCGTACCAACGATTGTGAAGATGGCGCAAGATTGTGTTCATTTGTACATAGTGTTGCCATGAGTCAGAGCCGACTCGACGGCAACCAGCAACAACATGAATTAGTCACTCACCAGAATGCCGAATCTTGTAGACCCATCATTTTCATCAAGTTCTTAAGCATTTTTCTTTCTTTTGTAACATCGAGTGATGCAAAATATATAAATGGAGAGAAATAAATCAAGCAGTAGAAAATAAACATCTCATTTTGAAATATATACTTAGAAAGAAAAGGCAGTATCTTCATATTTATACCAGTAACCGACAGTAACTCCTCCATCACAGAGTGATTTGTTGTAATCTAAAGAAGGGTTTAAACAAACAAAACCATTTTTAAATGTATAGAAACTGGTGAAACCTGATAGGCTCTGTGGACTGTACCAGTTACCCACTTGCTCTGTGGACTGACACAGGACTCTCTCTGGATTGTACCAATGTCAGTTTCCTAGTTTTAACACTGTACTATAGTTATATAAGGAGCCCTGGTGGCTCAGTGGTTAAAGTGCTGTCAGTTGCTAACTGAAACGTCCCCAGTTCGAACCCACTGGCCTCTCCGAGGGAGAAAGATGTGGCAGTCAGTTTTTGTAACTATAGCCTTAGAAATTCTGTGGGGCAGTTCTACTCCATTCTATAGGGTTGCCATGAGTCAAAATCGGCTCGGCAGCAATGGATTCTTTTTTTTTTTTTAATATAGTTATGAATAAGGTCTCTGGGTGGTGCAAATGGTTTGCACTCAACTACTAACTTAAAGGTTAGCAGTTCAAACCCACCCAGTGGCACCACAGAACTCGACAGAAACTAACAACAACAACAATATTATGCGTAACTATAAACCAAACCCGTTGCCATCGAGTCCATTCTGACTCATGTCAACTCCATGTGTTACAGAGTAGAATTGCTCCATGGGTTTTTTTTTTTTGGCTGTAGTCTTTACAGAAGCAGTTCGCCAGCCTATCTTCCACGGTATCGTTGGGTTGGTTGGAATCCCCAACCTTTTAGGTTAACAGTGGAGCACAGCCATTTGGGGAAAACTGGGTGAAGGGTACATGGGACCTTCCTATACATTGTTTTTGAAACGTCCTGTGAATCTACAATTATTTCAAAATGAAAAGCTTTAAATAAGCAACATGCTCTTTTGTCTAAATCTAATTGCAACATTTGTATACCTGCATTATATATAAATCTATGAAAATCTGAGTCTATATCATCTTTCATCAAAATCTTGATGCTTCTGGAATTAGCTTACATTAATTATTAGAACTTTAAATTAGGCACTTACTTCTATAATAGCAGCATCAATGGCAGTTTGTAAAGTCACAAATCCTCTTTTCCAATAGAGGGCCTGTGCACATGAAGTCCCGTAATATCCACTCCAGCAATGAGCTGTAAGCACAAAGCACAACCATCATTACAGAATGAGGGCGGTTTGGAGAATAAAAAACAAGACGCCATGAAAAAACCATCTAGAGAAAGCTCCCCTGTCAGAGCTTTTAACTTCACAGAAAAAGGAAGCCAATTGAAGACAACCACATGCATAGAAGGTCTTAGAAATTACAAAGAAGATCAAAGCAAAGAACATTCTGCTCTGGCCAAAAATTACTCCTTCCTGTGCCTCTAAACCCATTGCTGTGGAGTCAGTTCCAACTCCCTGATGGCACAGTGGTTAAAGTGATGGACTTCTAACCAGTAAGGCTGGAGGTTCGAAACTACCAGCGGCTCCACAGAGAAAGATGTGGCAGTGTGCTTCTGCAGATAACAGCCTTAGAAACTCTGTGGGGTCACCATGAGTCTGACTCGAGGGCAGTGGGTTTGGTATTCTTTTTTTTTGATTTGATGCCTCTAAACACCAGATGGGTCCAGCACTAGAACTTTTTTTTGCGCTTGAATGCTCTCCCTCCGGAAGAATACATGGCTCGTGCCCTCCCTTCATCCTGATCTCTTCTCAAAAGTAGCTTTATCCCAGACGACTTTCCTGGCCACCATAAGTAAAATATCTAAAATGACTCCTCTTAGCAGTCTATCTTGTGGCCCTGCTTTATTTTGCTTTGCTGCTTTCATCACTACCTGACAAAGTGCCTGTGTACGTGCTCTTGTGTTTATTGTTTTTCCCCATTTCCTGTCCCTGACTAGAGTTTTTCATGAAAAGCAAGCTCTTTGTTTTGTTCACTTCAATTCCCAGGGTTAAGAATAATGAGGGACACAGGAGGCATTCAGTGAATGAATGGAAAAGAAAACAATTCTGAATCATATCAATTCTACCTCCTCGAGGGCCCTCAAATCCCTCCACCTCTCTCCCTCTCAGCTGCCTCTACTCTGGACAGAGCAGCCGCCATCAGCTAACTTGTAGGTTTCATTGCATTCCCCCTGGCCTCCCTGCAATCCATTCTCTGAGCTATATCCAGAGTGCTCTGTTAGGCTTGAAAATCTAAAGACATCTCCGCCCTGATTAAAGTGCCTCAGTGGCAATCCATTGGCCAAGATCTAGCCATTGTTCCACTTCAGCCTCATTCTCCCACTGCATTCTTCTTCATGTTCTTCTTTCAGGTCTATGAGTAGATGCTCTTTCTCATCCCACAACCTTCATGCTTGCCTTTCTTCTACCTGAAACACAGCCCCCCTAGCAGCTCACACCTACTATTCTGTCTGATCTTAGTTTGAATATCAGTTCCCCAGGTAGGACTTTCCTGATCCCACAGCTTATTAGGACCACCATGTCTAAGTGCCCAGAGCACTTTTTCTGGAACTTGTCATTAATTGTTCAGTGTCTGTCTTTCATGCTAAACTAAAATCTCCCCTGAGGCTGGGACTCTTGCATCCCTTGCACCTTGCACACCCTGAGCTGAATATATATGTGTTGGGTGACTGTAAGATTTGTTGAGCATCATCCCTTAGTGGAACGATCTGATCGACCTAGGAATAAGTTCAGCAATAAAATGTAATTTATCTTTTTTCTCATTGATATTGGAAGCATCTCTGACACCTGTCCTCACCTACTCCTCCTTTTGTTGCAAACATAAAAAATGCCTTAATAACATTTTATATGGAAAGTCACCTGAGAAATCTTCTTTCACATACGGAATGTTATATCCCTGAAGAAACATTAGCTTATATGAGAAAGTGTCATTGAAGATGATTCCCACAGTGTTTGGGAAATTTTCTAGAATAATTGCATCCATGGATTTTTTATCTGGTACCCCAATGACTCTTCTTTCTGTGAATTACGAAGTAAAAATAGATATAGAATAGTGTTACAGGGATGCAGCATATTCAACGGTGTGATCATATATTTCCCGTTGGAATTAAACTAAGACTAATTTTCCATTGAATTCAAACTTGTTGTATGAGGCAAGGAGGGAAGTTTTACTTCAGTGTTTTAGAATCTAGAATCAGGAGAAAGACATGAGAATTAAGCATTTTCTTTTAATAATGACAGGTATCAGGGCAAGTTTCAGGTACATAAAAAACATTATACCAGAATAATTGTGAATAAGAGAATTGGAGTAAAAAACAGGAGTAATTATTGTAGTCAATATATAATCAGGGCTAGATTCCAGATTTACTGAAGAAAAGGACCTCATGTGACCTTTGCCTTATATAGGAACCAAGACCACAAGGTGATTGCATTTCTAACAGCCACGGATTTCGAGGCTCAAAAAGCAGATAGCCTGGCTACATCCAGCGTGGCCATTTTGGTTATTTCGGTTACAGACTGACCTCATTTGTCACTTCTAAGATGTTTACAGGTTACAACATATGCAAAATAATCTTTCAATTACTCATCCTTGTTTTTCATAGTTCTGAGGTTATCATTTGATAACCATCACCTAATTTCTGTTATTTAGATGTTTTTTCCTGAGTTATTAATCTTCATCACTGTATCATCAATGTTAAAAATACCCACACCCACCAATGACTATATTCCTCCTGGACACTATTCTGAAGACCTGAAATTATAGATCTGTTGGTTAGCCACATTTCCATAGAAATGTGGGTCTCCCTAGAATGGACTTCTATCAAGCTGAAAGGGTTTAAAAGGCTAATTGTTGTGAGGGAAAAAAAAGAAAACTAACCAAATTTGTATGTTATCTAAATAATTAACATATCACTGTGACTTCAAATTTAACATGTATACATCTTATAAAGAAATATAATATCAATAACACTTTTTTTGCCATTAGCACTCTCACCTTTCAAAAAGAGAGCAGATGCCGTTTTATTCATTATCTGCTGGGTTACATTAGATACTGGTGTGTACACAACCATTATGTAAGAGCTATTAAATTTATCTGCTCTTCCCAGATCCTGAGAAGGTGTTTCAGGAATATGGTCGTTTTCTTTGAGATATGAAAATAGGCCCATATACAGTCCTAAAAGTATCGGGAGGCCCCATTCCTAAAACACATAGGAAAAGAATGAATTTAGATTGCATTCCCTTAAACAGCTCAGTCAACATCAGAGAATGATAGACGATAACTTCCAATATTGCCATGTAGTTGGCCATCTCTTTGCTTGCAGTCCTTCGGAGCAACGGGGACTCAATGAAAGATAAATACTGAGATAGTAGTCACGTGCATGAAAAACATTTGCATTAAAGTTAAAAGGACTGTAGAGACCATCAGATAAACTAACTGGATGACTAACAGCCTGAAGTTCTCTGTGCGTCTGGGCAACAGACTCGAGAGGGAAGGAAGGACACTTTATTTTAATGTTTTAGATTCTAGAATCAGGAGAAATGCATGAAAATTGTGTTTATTTTTAATAATGACAGGTGTCAGGGTAAGTTGTAAGCACATAAAAAACACCTGCCAGGAAAAGCATGTGTAAGAGACCTAAAGTACAAAAAACAGAGGTAATTGTTGTAGTTACTATATAGTCAGGGGATTCCAGATTTCAGATTAACTGAAGCAAAGGCACCTCACATGAGTTCATGGCAGCAAATAGCAATCCATTTGTCAGTTGTCAGATCCTTGTATTGGAAACAAAAGAAAACGAAAAGGAACTGAGTGGTAGAGACTGTCTAGTGGTTCACCAATATCAGTGATGTCTCCCTCCTTGGTCCAATGCTAGGCTACATTCTCAGCCTCCCCAAAATAAGCGGGGCCACGGGATTGAGTTCTGGCTAATGGAATGTGAGCAGATGCGATATGCATCACTTCCAAGCCTGGCTTGTGGAAACTTGTACAAGCTTCTATATCTTCTCTGTCCTGGTCTCGCTCTTTCCTTGCAACTAGTTGCAGAGGATCCAGTGGAGGTCTCCTAGGCCTAGGAGATGGAAGAGTCCCTAGATGAAGGAACGTGGGTCCCTGAATGACTGCATGGACAAGATTCCTTCAACCACCCACACTCACTCCACTTCTACCAACCACCTTATTTAGACTGTAATAAGAGTGAAAAATAAATCTTTACTGTGTTAAGCCACTGAGATTTGGGGTTTTTACCAGTAGTTAAGAGGAGCCTTGGTGGCACAGTGGTTAAGCATTTGGCTGCTAACCAAAAGGTTGGCAATTTGAACCTACCAGCTGCTCCGTGGGAGAAAGATGTGGCAGTCTGCTTCCATAAAGATTACAGCTTTGGAAACCCTATAGGGCAGTTCTTCTCTGTCCTACAGGGTTGCTATGAGCCAGAATTGACTCGACAGCAGTGGGTTTGGTTTTTTGTTTTGTTTTTTTTACCAGTAGTTAGTCCACCTGCCTAATGCAAACAATCAATGGGATTACTTGGTAATAATATAGAAATAATTTTTGTAGAAACGTCATGGCTTTGAAAATAAGTTGCCAAACTAAAATTCCTCAATTTATGCTAGCCAAAATTTTTAGTATTCCTTGGCTATAAATGTACAACATGTGGTAGCAGCTGTAGTCATTGCTATAATTAACTAGTTAATTTTTTTCTTACTCTCCTTTTTAAAAAAAAAATCAGTAATACTACTAGTCCTTACGATTTTACATTAATTTTCAGTGACTGCTGTGAGTCTCTCAGCTTAATAAAAACAACTAGAGATGACCTCAATATCAATAAATCAAGTCTACTAATTGAAATAAAATATAAGGGAAACATTAGACAATGAAATAAAAGAACAGTGCTAAATGTAGAAAGATGCAAACTTTTAAACATACCAACAAGCTCTGTCTTTTCATCCTCTGTTTCTTAAGAAAATTCTTGCACAGAACTGCTTGGGTTTGCTGATACACGCTTTTCTTTTTCTTATTCATTTAGACTATTCATTTTACATACAAGGAGAAAGTAAATATGGTGGAACACAAACAAGAAAAAAATTAAGTGTGATGAGAACAACCTTGATCATACTTTTGAGCCAGATATTTACTACCTTTAAGAACTATTCAAAAAAAAAAAAGAATTTAAAATATTGTTTCAATAAATTTATGGATACAAAATTTCACTTCACATATATTAACTTTAAGCTTTATGTGGGAAGGCATGATGCTGGGGAGATAGCGTGATGATTGACACAACTTTACGAAAACCTAGACTACTACAATGAAAAAGTATAGTTAGAGTGCAGAACCTGCAAGATAGATCACATTGTTTATCTTTTATAATACAATTCCATGAATAGGGTAATTGGATTATATTTCATCCAATTAACAGTAATTTTTTGTCTTTGAATTTAGGTAGAAATCTCAGAAATAACCAAATTAACATCAAAATTCTGATTACTTAAATTCATCTGAATAATAAATTATGTGCATTAAATATAACTCCAAGAAATATTTTCTCTTCTACTTACCCTCCAGATTGAATCAAATAATTTTTATCAAAAGAGTTAATCCGTAGGATAACAATCCAAACTCAAACGCAAGAAGAACAAAAATACTTGTCTGAATTTTCTAGATTCAGAAGTCTCTAAATAGCTTAGGAAATAAACTACAATGTAAGATATTTTTTTAAAAAAGAAATCACATTAGAAAGCAGTTTTGCCCAAATGTTTGTAACAAACAAACAGAAACATTTTTTCAGTTTATATAATCTCAAAATTAAATTCTTTCAGATTTATGTATCAAAATCTTCAGACAACTCCCCCTCAGCACAGGAACAAATTTTATTATGTCCCTCAATTCACTGTTGTGTATGTACACAATAAAAGACTGCTGGGGAACAAAAACAGACAATTTTAGTTATTAGGCCTTCAATGTAAAGCACTTAAGTATTTGAAAAGGTCTGAAAAACAGATTGATTTTAGCAGTGTCCACCCAGATATTTGGCATAGCACACTCACAAACACAGAGCTTCACTTACTGTCAAGAAAATTAGCAAACGTTTTCTGGAAACTCTGCCAAACTACAGTTCTCTTTTTGTGTAAGGTGACACAAAAACTTCTTTATTGCCACTTCTTCATTTATTCCTTAAATAGTTGCCTACTTCCAGCGGTTCTTACTCAGGCTCAAAAAAGGTTGTAGTCAGACCAATCTGCATATGTTGGACTTGTTTTGTCTTCTGTCTTGTTTTTCTAAATCAATTCTTCTGAAGGGAAATGTCTGTTCTATGGTTGGTTACTCATTTCACAGGGAATACAACAAATCCTGTGTCTGTCCACTTGGCCTTTCAACTCAACTCCAGGGATCAGGGGGGAAATGGTCAAACAAGAAAAATGGAACTAGCCCATCAGATTATTTAAAGCCGTATTAGTAACATTTCTAGTCCTTATGGTTTCCCAGATGAGACTAAAATGAGAGAAAAAGCAATGCAAGTGTGCAAACAATAACTAACAAAACAAAGCAGTTACATTTATATGAGAAATCTTGGAGTTTTGTTTTGTTTTGAAACACAACTGCCAAATATATATTTGACTAATTCAGAATAAATGGTCAGAACATGGCAAAGCTGATCTTTTGCCTAATAACTCTAAGCAATCTATAGCCTACCTTAGAGAAACACCTAAATTGGACAAATGAAAAATTAGGGAAAAAATTCCTTTCTTCCACTCTATTTATAGCAGATACATCATTTCACAGGACAGATGAGCAAAATGAAAGCAAATGGGTTGCTAAGGAATAAAAAACATATAAAAAGATTTTGTGTGTGTATTAAGACTTAGGAAAAAATGAGAAATTTATTCCATTCTTGTTGCATATCTATCTCTCTAGAATGTTGCAAACTTTTCTTCTCCTGCCAAAGTGAATGGCAAAACAGGAAGCCAAAGTCTATGAATTGGGAAATCTCAAATATTTGACATGGCTCCCAGGCCACAGATGTTAATAATCATAAAGCTGAGAGATGTTCTGGAGAAAAGGGGATAATTAAACACACACACACACACACACACACACACGCACACAGCTAAAGCTATGGTATGTATATACATTTCTCTCCTTGGGAATGAAATCTATTTTTAAGAATAGTCAACAGTGAAATATTACAGGTCTCTTACATTAAAAATTGGCATGAGCAAAGGTAGCGAAGGTTTTCTAAAGCTCTCACATGGGGTGCGGAGGATGGGGTTGGAAGGTCATAAACACGGCTAAAAGTTTACATCACTAAATAGGTCAGTGGCCCAGAACAAAATTCTAACTTTTTTTTTTTAAATCACCTAGAATGTAGCTCAGTTTTTTAGCTAAATTTTGTTGTTGTTATAGTTGTTTTATATTTTTATATATTCTATTTTAGGAATCATTTTTACCCTGACTTTCTTCCAGTTGCATTAAAAGTCACAATTGCTACAATGTCAGTAATTATTGAGATTAACTAGATTTTACCGATTTCACTTCTTACCATGGTTTCTTGTGTATGCGTTGTCTTCCTCCTTCTTGATTTCCTTATTCTGATCCATTTTTCATTCTTCTGAAGCTGTTTTTCTTATTTAAGCCTAAATATTTCCCCACAAATGGTGATCTAATATGATAAAGAAGTGCCTGGCCTCCAACTAGAAGCACATGAAAATAGTGGATAAAATACATGCAAAATACAAGTTCAGGTATACAGCCAAACTTCTTCTCAAAAAGAAGAAGAAGAAGGACAGTTTAAAAAAAAAAAAAAAAAAAAAAAAACAGTGGAAGAAACCCAGAGAGAAAGGAAGGCACATCTGAGGTATTAAAAAATGGAAAGGGAAATTGAAACCAAGCTGTGGGTGGTTTTTCTGCCACTGTCTGTCCAAGAAGATATTAGACTCAGACTAGGCCCCCGGTGTTGTAACGTCGCTGTGGCTAGGAGTTGAGCTTGGAAAAGTTGGAAAGCTGGAATTAATATCCCTTCATGAATCCAGAAGCTTCGCAGGACTGTTCAGTGCTAGAAATAGAGACTAGAAAAACTTCACCTACTGCCCCAGAGAAGAGTAAGGGCATATACTTTCTACCTAATCTCTGGGCTAAAATATATATATCCTTCATGGAAAATGAAACTCTAACATATGTCAGGTACAGGAAACAGGAGAGGGGTCTGAATTTATTCTCTGTGTGTAGTTATGTATCCAGTCCATGTATGTGCTCTACAGTCACCCTGCTTGGGCTCGAATTCTGACTGTGCCATCTTCAAGCTGCATAACCTTGTACCATTTATCCAATCTTTCCCCCTCGTTTCCTCACCCGTAAAAATGGGTATAATAAAGCCATTGTGTGGACTAAATTCATTAATGTAAGTAAGGTACACAGAACAGGGCCTGGAAAACAGCAAAAGTTCACAAATGGTGTTTGTTGTTGCTGCTGCTACTACCACATACTACTCTTGCCACCACTACTCCTGAAGACCCACAGAGGAAACACAAACTGTCCTGCAGAGAGATGTCGAGAATTCAGGGCACAAATGGTGAGCTTTGTCATCTAAGAAAATATCAAAGCTTTATTGAGGAAAGAGAAATAGGCAGCCATGACTCATTTCCTAAGTAAAGAAGCTCCGCAAGTAAATTTAGATCGTAACAGTTTGGCTGTATATTCGAGCTAACCACAAGTTTTCTGGAATTTTAGCTGCAGTGATAATTTTAGCCATCTATGTCTTCTCCTTTTTGCGTGGTTTTCTTTTACAAGCTTCTATATTTTGCTTATCTGATTTATGAAGAAAAGGCACAAGCTTCCATCTGTGGCCAGAATGGCTAGCATCTAACACCATGATTGGATTATACTAGTTTTCCACAGAACAGAGTCTGAGCACCAAGTGTTTGTGGCACTCTCTACAGAGATACCCCAGCCAGCTGCTGGCATCTCAAAACTTATTCAGACTTCCAGAAGAGGTTCTGATGAACCCTCCTGGCATTGCTCCTATCGATTGTTACTCCAAGGATGGAGTCATATAAGTGCAGCTGCTGGAAGCCCGCCCTGTAAGCCTGCCAACAGAAGATAAAGCTGTTTCCTCAAAAGGGGAAACTGGTGCAAGCTGAGCAAGCACTCCCAGATGGGACTCTTACAAAATTCTAATGAGTATTATAGGTAATATCTCCCCTGTTTCTGGAATTAGCCTTTTTTTTTTCTTTTTGGAGAACATTGCTGATTTTTCCATTTTGGTTCCATCTTTCTGTTGCCTAATTCTCATCTGGCCCATGATTTTTCCATTACTGGTCTATATTGTAAAGAGAGTCGCAAATTGATCAGTACGGTTAGTCGTAGACGACCTCCTTGGAAATTGATTACCATACCATATCCATTGCCGTTGAGTTGATTCCGACTCATAGCCAACTCTGTAATGGAATTGATTAAGCCATTATTTTTCTTTGTCAAGCTATCCCCTCTCCTTGCCTTCCCCTCCCTTTCTCTCTGTAAAACAGGCAGATGCAAGATTCCTCAGAAGGTCAGCTCCCTTTGCTTAAATTGCTACCATAGCCCGGGAGTCTGATTAAGATTTTAGGTTTTTTTTTCTCTCCAAGTGATCCCCACGCTGCTTCTGAGTGGGGAAAAAAACAGCAACAGTATACTACTACCTGATAGAAATTCAATTGTTGTTGTAGTTGTTGTTAGATGCCATCGAGTTCCAACTCCTAGCGACCCTATGTACAACAGAACGTCATCCTCACGATTGTTGTTATGCTTGAGCCCACTGTTGCAGCCACTGTGTCAATCCATCTCGTTGAGGGTCTTCCTCTTTTTTGTTTACTCTCTACTTTACCAAGCATAATGTCCTTCTCCAGGGACTGGCTCCTCCTGATAACACGTTCAAAGTACATGAAACAAAGCCTCACCATATTTGCTTCTAATGAGCATTCTGGCTGTACTTCTTTCAAGACAGATTTGTTCATTCTTCTGGCAGTCCATGGTATATTCAATATTCTTCTCCAACACCATAATTCAAAGGCATCAATTCTTCTTCAGTCTTCCTTATTCATTGTCCAGCTTTCACATGCATATGAGGCGATTGGAAACATCATGGCTTGGGTCAGGCGCACCTTAGTCCTCAGAGTGACATCTTTGCTTTTTAACATTTTAAAGAAAGATTTTGCAGCGAATGTGCCCAATGCAATGTGTCATTTGATTTCCTAACTGCTGCTTCCATGGGCATTGATTGTGGATCCAAGTAAAATAAACTCCTTTATAACTTCAATCTTTCTCCGTTTATCATGATGTTGCTTATTGGTCCAGTCGTGAGGATTTTTGTTTTCTTTATGTTGAGGTGTAATCCAAACTGAAGGCTGTGTTCATTGATCTTCATCAGTCAGTGCTTCAAGTCCTCTTCACTTTCAGCAAGAAACGTTGTGTTATCTGCATATCGCAGGTTGTTAATGAGTCTTCCTCTCTGATGCCATGTTCTTCTTCATATAGTCCAGCTTCTTGGTTAATTTGCTCAGCATACGGATTGAATAAGTATGGTGAAAGGATACAACCCTGACGCACAGTTTTCTTGACTTTAAACCATGCAGTGTTCCCTTTACTCTATTCAAATGACTGTTTCTTTGTCTAAGTACAGGTCCTTAATGAGCAAAATTAAGTGTTTTGGAATTTCCATCCTTCCCAATGTTATCCATAATTTGTTATGATCCACACAGTTGAATGTCTTTTCATAGTCAATAAAACACAGATAAACATCTTTCTGGTATTCTCTTCTTTCAGCCAGGATCTGTCTGACATCAGCAATGATATATCCCCTCGTTCCACATCCTCTTTGAATTCAGCTTGAATTTCTGGGAATTCCCTGTCAATATACTGCTGCAACTGTTTTCAAAGGATCTTCGGCAAAATTTTACTTCTGTGTAATATTAATGATATTGTTCGATAATGTCCACATTCTGTTGGATCACCTTTCTTTGGAATTGGTACAAATACGGATCTCTTCCTGTCGGTTGGCCAGGTTGCTGTCTTCCAAATTTCTCGGCATAGACAAGTGAATGCTTGTTGAAATATCTCCATTGGCATTCCACCAATTTCTGGAGGCTTGTTTTTTGCCAATGCCTTCAGTGCAGCTTGGACTTCTTCCTTCAGTACCATCGGTTCTTGATTATATGCCACCTCCTGAAGTGGCTGAAAGTCGACCAAATCTTTCTGGTACTGTGACTCTGTACATTCTTTACATCTTTTTTTGATGTTTCCTGAGTCATTTAATATTTTCCCCATAGAACCCTTCAATACCGCAACTCGAGGCTTGAATTTTTTCTTTAGTTCTTTCAGCTTGAGAAACGCCGAGCGTGTTCTTCCCTTTTCGTTTTCTGTCTCCAGTTCTTTGCATATTTCATTATAAGAATTTACTTCATCTTCTCGAGCTGCCCTTTGAAATCTTCTGTTCAGCTCTATTCATCATTTCTTCCGTTCACTTTAGCTATTCGACATTCAAGAGCAACTATCAGGGTCTCTTCTGACATCCATTTTGATCTTTTCTTTTTTTTCCTGTCTTTTTAATGATCTCTTGCTTTCTTCATGTACGATGTCCACAATGTCATTCCCACAATTCATCTTGTCTTCGGTCATTAGTGTTCACTGTGTCAAATCTATTCTTGAGATGGTGTCTAAATTCAAGCGTGACATATTCAAGATTGTACTTTGGCTCTCATGGAGTTGTTCTAATTTTCTTCAACTTCAACTTGAACTTGCATATGAGAAATTGATGGTCTGTTCCACAGTAAGACTCTGGCCTTGATCTGACTGATGATATTGAGCTTTTCCACCATCTCTTTTCACATATGTAGTCGATTTGATTCCTTTGTATTCCATCTGGTGAGGTCCACATGTATAGTCACCTTTTATATTGTTGAAAAAAGGTATTTGCAATGAAGAAGTTGTTGGTCTTGCAAAATTCTATCATGCGATCTCAGCCGTTGTTTCTATCACCAAAGCCATGTTTTCCAAGTATCAATGCTTCTTCTTTTCTCCAATTTTCCCATTCCAATTGCCAGTAATTATCAACACATCTGGATTGTATGTTTGATCAATTTCAGACTGCAGAAGTTGGTAAAAATCTTCACTTCCTTCATCTTTGGCCTTAGTGGTTGGTGCATAAAATTTGAATAATACTTGTATTAACTGGACTTCCTTGTAGGTGTATGGATATTATCCTATCACTGACAGCATTGCACTTCAGGATAGATCTTGAAATGTTCTTGAAATGACGATGAATGCAACGTCATTCCTCTTCAATTTGTCATTCCCGGCATAGCAGACCATATGATTGTCTGATTCAAAATGGCCAATACCAGTCCATTTTAGCTCACTAATGCTTAGGATATTGATTTTTATGTGTGCCATTTCATTTTTGACAACTTCCAGTTTTCCTAGATTCATACTTCGTATGGTCCATGTTCTGATTATTAATGGATGTCTGCAAGCTGTTTCTTCCCATTTTGAGTTGTACTACATCAACAAATGAGGGTCATGAAAGCTTTACTCCATCCATGCCTTTAAGGTCGACTCTACTTTGAGAAGGCGGCTCTTCCCAAGTTGTACTTTGAGTGTCTTCCAACCTGAGGAGCTCATCTTCCGGGACTATATTAGACAATGTTCCACTGCTACTCATAATGTTCTAACTGGCCATTTTTTCAGAAGTAGAATGCCAGGTCCTTCTTCCTAGTCT